GCAGTGTGCAGGTATATCTTCAACTAGATCAGGTTGCTCAGAGCCCTGTCCAGCCTGACCTTGAATGTTTCCGGGGATGGGGCTTCTCCCACCTCTCTGGGCACCGTGTTCAAGTGTTTCTTTGCAGTTCACACAGCCCCTGCAGTGCAGCCCAAACCCCAGCACTCACAGCAGCAGCAGCAGCACTGCAGGGCAGTGGCAGCCAGCAGCACGCCGGCTCAGCAGTGGAGACTAAGTAACTGCTGAATATTAACCATGAATATTACAACAGCTTCTGTATGCTGCCTATGAGTGCGGGAACTAATAAAGCTGAGTGCGAGCTCCGGACGTTTTGGGATTGCTCCACCTGGGCTGGAGCAGGGCTCACCAAGGCGCTCCCAGGGCCCCTCCAAGATAACTGGTCTTTCGAGTTCCTTTCCCTTCCCTGGCCTCCGAGGCCCTATCGGTATTTTACGTGTCCGTTGAGAGGTGGCCACTCAACAGTGCTCGTCGTGCTCAGCACTATTCAGGGCTCTTGGGTTCTGCGGGGCACAGGAGTCCCACGTACCTACCAGAGGAACAGGGATTTTCAGGTTAAGGAGCTGTGAGAGGGTAGCAGGAGGAGGGTGCAGGTCAGGCAGCGTCCCGTCCCGCTGCCCTGAGCATGGTGTCCAGCTCCGGTACAGGAGACAGACCCTGGTCAAGCAACATCAGTCCAGGCTCTTCTCCCAACACTTCCTGCACCGAGGCGTGTGTGTGTGTGTGCACAGGGGAGTGTGTGCTCCCAAAACCCTCGCTGCTTTCCCCAAAACTGAAACTGCAGTCCTGGAAGAGTGAGAGCCCGAGTGAGACCCAGAGAGAGAGAGACCCTCTTTAATATACTGAACATGATGTTGTATGATATGGAATATCCCATTGGCATATCCAAATGCCAGTCTAGCTTACTAATTTTAATATTCCTCACTCCCCCACTAGTCCTTGCACCTGTAGACTAGCAAAACACAAAGTCCTTTGACTCCCATTTGCTGTAAGGTTTTCCTGCTCTTCATCCCATTGCTTTGCAAGGCTGGGAGGGAGGCACATTTTCAATGAGCTCATTAGTACATCAGGCTGGTGTTTTCATACCAGGGAGCAAGTGACACTGAGGCACCAGCCTGTGCTGGTCAGGGCACATGGGTCATGCCCACAGGTGAAACCCACGCAAACCTCTTCTGCTGGGACACACAGCCTTGGCTCCCTGCATCTTAATCCAGAGGAAAACAGCCACAAAGGGCTTAAGGTGCTTTAAATGGTGCGTGTCATACACATGACATTGGAGGGCTGCCCTGCCCTGGGAAGCTGTGTAGAGGCAGGGATGAAATGTGTGCCCCAAGAATGTCCATGCCCACATCCTGAGGAGCACTGTGACTCTGGAGCTGGCTACCTCCCACCAGTACTGCTTGCTAGAGCTTTTAAATCATTTTGCTTTCCCTCTGGACACCGGTGTCTGTGCCCCCGGCAGCCTGCAAAGCACAGGGGGATGCTGACTCTTCAGAAACCCTGGCTGAAGCCTGCAAAGAGGGGTGTGGGGAGAGTTGACAGACCTGCAGACGGCTGGGAGATGCCAGATTAGTCTGCGGTCACACAGACTAATCCAACACCAGCAGCAAGATAAACATCTTGCTGGCCCTGCCCAGCCACCTTTTGTGTTACCGAGGCTTCCCCGCCTCCCCCGTCTCCCCCACCAGTGTTTCATCGTGGAGCCACCACCAACGGCACATAAATAGAGGGCCCGGGCGTGCTGTGGGGTGAAGACGAGAGACGCTGCTCAGGGTCCCGCACCGCACCCCAGCGCCCGTCCCGCCTGGCTTGGCCACCCTGCAGGTAACCAGCAGCACCATGTGTGCGGCACAGACTCGGACAGGACCCACAGGGTCTTGGCGTGGGGCAGGAGGGGAGCGACGCAGCCACCCCACAGCCTAGTTTTCCAAAACTAAGGGGGTGGTTGAACATTATCACCAGGAAAACTGTCCTGGCACGAGCAGGGGGCTGTTCTGCTGAATGACAAACTCCCTGTTGTGGTTTTGCTGGAAATGGGCTCTGTTGAAGAAATCTGATTTCATTGCTAGGTGGAGTCAGAGGTTTTGGTGGTGAATGGGACACCAGCATTGGGGTTGGACAGAGGTTCGGGTGTGCAAAGCCTTTGGCTTAATGGTGTCTGACGGGGGTGCCCTGCTCAGTCTGTGTGTGAAGCCCAGAGGAACTGGGTGCTGAAGCTGGGGCAGCTGGGAGGGAGCTCTGAGCATGGGGCTGCCGAAGGGAGATCCTCGACGAGCAGTGGCCTTTCCACAGGGAGAGAGTCTGGGCTCTGTGCTGCTCGACACAGCCATCAGTCTGCTGG